TATGGGTAAATCACGGCTCAGGTCCCACAGTTTGCTTGTTTGGGGGCATGCAGAGCGTGCAGCTTAGTGCCACCCCACATCTGGGAGGTGCAGGGACAAGCGAGGAGGGAAGCAGCTAGAGTTCCGTTCTTTTTTAGCATCGTATTCAATTGGCCGTGAAGCCCGGGATGGTGCAATTGAATTCTAAGGGGGCTGGAGTATTAAATAAAAATCCAAAGATGGTCAGGGTGTTTGGCTCCAGGTGGGCTGGACTTTATTAGGAGGTAGCACAGATTTTAAAGAACAGGGAGTGAAAAAGGCAGCATCTTCTTTCCTAAAAATTCGCCTCATTGAACCCCGGGAGATGGGCCCACAGGCAGGGTGGGGAGGGAGTCCACCTCTCCATGAGGTGACTGTCCCCAGAAAGCAGGACCTTTCCTTCTGAAGGGGAATCGCTGCCCCCTTAAATGCAGGTGGACAGTGAACCTCACTATGTGCACATCCACAAGACTGGGGTCCTCATTAGAATAAGATATATTCCATGCGTGTATGATTAGATCCCAATGGACTCTACCGTCATGTATAACTAAAAAGAACCAATAAAAAATAATTTTAAAAAACCACTGCCTCATTACATTTGGATATTTCTGTTTTAATATCATTTAAGATATGTATGCACTTTTTAAAAAGTATACTTTGTATAGTTTTGTGTCTAAAATGCATTGCACCAGCAAAAATATTGATTTTATTTTTTTATAATAGTTGAACTCTCATATTAGGAGTTCTTTTTTAGATAATGAAATATATTTAGTCTCAGAAAAAAAAAATGCAGGTGGGATCCAGGAGCATGGCCAGGTGGAACGTTTTATTGTCATTTCTTGGTTTCTTGGTGGTAGATTTCTCTCTCTGGCCCTTTCCTGGTTTATCCTTCGAGTCCAGCCATTGGACGGGCTAAGCTTGTCTGATGAGGATGTTAAATTCTAGGTGGTCCAGAGCCGACGTAAGTGTGTTTGGCAGGAGTCAAAGACTCCGCTTGCCAACTGAAAGGTGGCGGAAATGCCGAGGTCTGCACAACCTTTGCATCAAGCCGCTCAGGTCTCCGGGGTTAGTGGGAAAGTCAGTGGTGTGCTGGTGGATGGGCAACAACCAGCTCCCAGGGACTGGTTGTTGAGTCTGGATTTGTAGTGCTTGCTGATTTCCATTGCATAAATATTCCCGTGGGGGTTGATTTCAAGCTCCAATGTGGCATCAGTGAGCCCAGAGCTGGGAGGAGACCTGCTGGGGTGCTCCTCCTGTAGGGTGTCCACTGAACACATTCTGCCACCATCAGAAAGAAGCCTCAAGAACTTAGACCACAGCAAAGCCCACAGAATAGCCGGGAGGGGACGGTTCTAGTGTCTGTTATCTGTATCTTCTTGTATAATTTATTTAATTACAAATTGATGTCATTTATTTTGTTGGGACCAGGGATCGAATCCAGGAGCCACATCCCCAGCCTTTTCCCACCAGGGAGGCTGGCTTTGAACTCGTGATCCTCCGCTTCCTGAGCCGCAGGTGGGACCTGGAGATCCAGGTGCTATCAGCAGGGATGTCATTAGCAGCGGTGGCTGGAGTGGGCCAATGACCCTCCCTTGTTAGGCTCTGGAGATTGCTATTTGCCTTTGTCACTGGGTCTCTGGGCTGATGACATTCGGCTGGCGAGAACCAAAGTGGTAGTCATGCGGTGCACGGCCAGCGTCTGTTCTGACGGGTGGGTGTCCCTGATGAAGCGCTGAATCTGTGTTTTGGACCTCACGTCCGATCCAACTTCTCTGCAAAGTCTGGATTATCTTCCAGGCACCCCGGAGCACGGAGTGGGCACCCCTGTGGGGAGGTTACTCTTTCTTTTCTTCCTGCTGCCCGGTGATGCCCAGATGGCCCTTGGCTTCTCGCCTCTCACTAGTCCCTACAGAGTAGAGGCCAATATGTCCACAATGAACAGAGGGTCCCTTGATTCTGAGAGCCCAGTTCAAACATCATGTCTGAGCTCAGCTCCACCTGAGACTGTCAGGCTGAGCCCGGTGGGTCCCCTCCAGCGGGGGTGTGGTCTGCAGGGTGGTCTCAGAGCAGACTGTTCTATTATTAGACCTCTGGGGCTGCTCTAACAGAATGCCACAGAGCCGGTGGCTTGAACACAGACATTTACTTTCTCACAGTTCTGGAGGTTGGAAGTTCAAGATCAAGTGTTGGTTTCTCCCAAGGGCTCTCTTCTTGGCTGTGTCCTCCAACATGACCTTCTCCCTGCACACATCTCTGATGTCTCCCAAGACACTGGTCAGACTGGATTAGGGTCCCACCCCTACGACCTCATTTTACCTTAAACACCTCTCCAATGGCCCTCGCTCCAGCTAGAGTCACTTTGGGGGCAAGGACTTCAATATATGAAATTTTTCCAGGGCAAGCGGGTACAATTGAGTCCACAACAACTATTAGACACTTGAATTGTGGCTGGTCCAAATTAATATGTGCTCCCAAGTATGAAATATACCACGGGTTTTCTTTTCTTTGTTCTTTCCTTTTTATTTATTTTTATTTTTTTGGTACTGGAGATTGAACCCAGGGACGCTTAACCGCTGAGCCCCATCCCCAGCTCTTTTTAATATTTTATTTAGAGACAGGGTCTCACTGAGTGGCTTAGGGGCTTTGCTGAGTTGCTGAGGCTGGCTTTGAACTCATGATCCTCCCACCTCAGCCTCCTGAGCCGCTGGGATGACAGGCACATACCACGGCGCCCGGCAACACCATGTGTTTTCTATCATCATTTTTCAACATTTCATTCCTTTTTATCATGTACCAGAAACAGAATGAAAAACGTCTCATTAAATACCATTTTATATTGATCACATGTTGAATCATAATATTTTGGACATTTTGGGTTAAATAAAATTTAGTATTAGAATTGCTTCCACCTGTTTTTTTTTTTAAACCCTTTTTAGTGTGACGGGTCAAAAACTCAAAATGACATACATGGCTCACACTCTGTTTCCACTGGACGGTGACTGTCCAGGGACATTTGAAGAGCTGACAGAGCCTCCCCTCTTGCAGTCAGAGGGAACATCACTTTCTGGGATCCTCTCTGTAACCCGATCCCCTGATCCCTTTCACCCCTCCCTACCCCCCACCCCATGTCCCTTCTTGGGCTGAATCAGTTCCGTCAGAGGAAGGATGGAGATGGCTGTGGGGAGGGGGAACCTGGAGATGATGGAGGTGATGGAGGAAAGGTCTCCCTGTGCACCTCGCTCTGGTCCAGCTCAGAGTGGGAGATAACTAGGAGGCGCTTACCTTCCCCATGGCCTCTGTCACCAGTCCTAGCGTACCTCACGGGTGTTGAGTGCCAAGTCTCCAGCTCCTACTCTGCCTGGAATTGCTTTGCCAAAAGCCCCATTTTGTGAACCCACTTTGGAATGTTCCGGCTCTCAGGAAAGAGTTAAGGGTTAAGGAAGAAAAACACTCCCATCTTACCACTTAGAGATGAATAACCTATTTTCCTGGATCTCCTTTGCTTACACGGCCAGGAGGGAAGGAATGAGGAGCGAGCTGGAGAAGGAAGCTCAGAGACACAGGAAGGTCCCACTCTAGTCTCGCAACGACCTATTTTATTTTCATTTTGCAGACAGAGAAACAGGCAGGCGAGATAACTCCTCCGGTGTCACCAACTGGCAGGTGGCAGGGTCAGTGATGGATGCCGAGTCTATCTGACTCTCTGCTATTACCTGTTGTACCAAGGGAAGATTTCTGGAGCACGTGAGGACTCTCTTGAGCTGGATTCCCATCCGGATGGAGAGCAGAGGGGGCTCTAGGCAGGAGACTGACCGAGGGAGGCTGTAGAGGCGCATCTAGTGCAGATGCTCCCTGAAGGGCACAGTGGGTCAGGGCTCCTGTCCTCTGCTGCTGACTGCTGACCCTCCTGTCAATCTTCTGCTGACCATTGAGGAATGAGGGGACACTGGGATCTGGCAAGGACTCATTGGCACCTCCCTCTGACAGGGGTCAGGCAGACATGAGTGGTGGGAACAGACCACGAGGTTTAGGGAATGATTCTATGAAATAGGCCCATGGTGCCGACCCCCCCATGCTGACCCCTGCATTTCCAAGAAAGCAATTTACCTGCAGCCCTGCCTGGCTTCAGTGAACGGGATACGTCCCACTCTTCATCAAGCTACCTGTTATCTGCAGGAGACACCCAGGCCCCAAATGACATGGATACGAAAAACCCAAGTTACCCTGAAGCGGGAGATCTTGGTGACCCTTTTCAAGACCAGATCCTGGAACTCAGGAAGATAAGGATAATTTCTCCTACCCATAAACTCTGCAAGAATGTATGGTGAGGAATCCAATGAGAACTGGTCACCGAGGGCCCAGGGGACCTAGAGTTGTCATGGCAGTGGGGACTTGAAAGTCTGATGTCATCCTGCTGTGAGTCAAAAGTCAAGAGGTGGACCTGGGCGAGACTCTCTGGAAACTTATCCCCAATAAAACTAGAGTGTAGGAGAGGCACGTTGTCCCTCTGCTCTCTGAGAGGACCCACTCTCTCCCTTGAGAGTATCCCCTTTCCCTTTTGCTATCCCTTCAATAAACTCATGCCTGTCACTCTGAGTGACGTGTCTGAAGTCTTTCTGACTTGATCACAAGAATCGCGGATAGAATGTGGGCGTCTTCATCCTGCCTCAGTTTCTTGGATGACCCCCTCCCCCCGTAACACTATCAGGTCCCCTCCCATATGGCAAGACGTTTATCTCTTCTCGTTTAAATGAATCCTATTGGGTTCACTCTTCCCTTTTGTTTTTGTCTGCGAATTTTAATCTTCAAATTTGTGAGACAAGAACCCAGAAGGAAATTGGCGAGGCCAGCAGCCCGCACGAACCCCAGCTGCCAGCAGAAGCAGGGAACCTAGTGTCACCTCAAAACTCAGGATTCCCCTCCCCCACAGCAGGCTCATCCTGACAGGCAGTCTGTGGGTCTTTCCCTACAGACTCACTCACCGGCTTCGCATGAGGTCTTTTTTGATGTTTATTATTTCCTTGTTCATGTACTTGATGTTCTTCATTGATTTGCCTGGAACCTGAAGGGACAATAAGAAGTGAGAGAAAAGGGGGTGTTAATACAACTGATCCAAATGCAGCCGGGGACAGAGGCACAGCTGTTCCCCTGAGCTGTCTGTGTTAGTCAGCTCTCCATTACTATAACAAACATTCTGAGATGATCAAATTAGAAAGAGAAAAGGTTTACTTTGGCTCATGGTCTTGGAGGTTCGGGTCCCAGATGGGTTGACCCCTCTGCTTTGGGCCTGCAGTGAGAAAGCTCCTCATAAAGGGTGCACGCGGTAGAGCAAACTGCTCACCTCATTGTAGGAAGCAAAAAACAGAGAAAGGAAAGAGCAGGGCCCACAATTCCCATTGAAGCCACGCCCCCAATGACCTAAAGACCTCTCACCAGGCTCCACCTCCTAAAGGCTCCACTCTCCCCAATACTGTCACCTGAGGACCAAGCCTTTAGCACACAAGTCTTCATCAGCCTTTGGGGAATGTTCCAGATCCAAACCACAGCAATGCCTGACCAGATTGGATGGGTGTTGGGCAGCACAAAGTCTGTCTCTACAACCAAGAGGCTCCTTGAGGCACAGTGGACATAGAAAAGGTTTTGGACACAGTGGACCTAAGCTCTGATTTTGATTTTGCCCACTGACCAGTTATGTGAACTTGGGACAAATTATTCAACCTCTGGGGACCTCGTTTTCTTCAGTAGAATGGGGGGAATAATTTCTACCTTGTAGTGAGGATTCAATAAAATGCAAAATTCTGGACTCAACATAGCAAGTATTTGATAGTAAACGGAACTGACTTTCCAGCCTTACACTTAGGGAAAAGCAAAGAATTGAACATTGAAAATAATTGTTGGTGTCGACTGGCAGCTAATTTAAAGAGATGAATCTGGTCGTTGAAAAGATGACAATGTACCTTCCCCCCCCTTTTCCCCCATAGCAGGATTTTACGAGTGAATTATCCACACATTGTTCATGGACTTGTCTTTCCCTTTTCTCTATTCATTTGTCATAAGTAAACATTGAGGAAACCTCACAATACAAAACTTTATCAATCCTAAGTTGATACCAGGTCAACAAAAAGAAATTAAAATTAACTATATTTTAATAAAATAATCACTCTTCTCAGATACCAGTTTAGAGAAACATGAACCAGAATATTATCTGGTTTATCCTGCCTTGAAATTAATTCCTACACATTTTTTAAAAATAAAAATAAATACTAAGAAATTATGGGAAAATAGGCACTCAAATAAATCCAGTGGGGAAAATAAGTGGGATAACTTTTTGGAAGGACCATTCACCTGTGCATACCAAATGCTTCAGAAGTGAGCATGCCCTTAGATTCCCTGTCAAATGTCCTGAGGGGATATTCCTGAATGTGCACTGAGATTCATCAACAAAATTATTCATCATAATAATGCTGCTTGTAATAGCAAACTCTTGGAAACCACTTATACTGCTTGCAACAGAAGACAGATCAGATTATGGTGCATCTGAACAACAGAATACATGTAATGGTAACGCAACCATTGAGTGATGTTCGGGTTCTTGGAGTGAGAAGACCTGCTACCAAGTAGTAGGTGTAGCATGGATCTGTTTTTCGTTTTTTGAAAAAATGATCTATGTGGATATACATATACCAAAGATGTGAAAGGACACAGCCCACCCAAGGCGGCTCAGACAAAGGGTGCAGAATCTATGGAATTCCCCCAGAGTATCTGCAACTGCAGCTACTACTTGTCTACTTCAGAAAAGTACATATGCTTCCCGACTTACCATGGTTCGACTTAAGATTTCTCAACTTAAGCACGGTGCCATAGCATAATCCAGATAACCATTCTTGTTTTTAAACTTTCAGTGCAACAGCCCATAAATGACATGACTTGGTCAACATTGTACTGTAAGATAGTCTTTGTGCTAAATGATTTCACCCAACCATAGGCCAACGTAAGCATTCTGAGCGTGTTTAAGGTAGGCATGTTTGGCAGGTGAGGTGCCTTAAATGTGCTTTTGGTTGATGACAGATCAACGTATGATGAGTTTATTGGGATGTGACCCCGTGGTAAGTTGACTAGCATCTGTATTTGGAAGCCCCAAAGTATATGGGATAGCCTCAGATAAGCTCAATTAAATAATGAAACCATGAAATCATTTACAAAATTCAGCTCTTTAGTTGTTATTAGCAACGGATTGCAGGTAATGTCCATCCTAATACTCCAGAAGGTTCCAACTCCTTGGGCTGAAAGTTGACAGTGTTCATCCTGAGGGACAGGTGGGTAGAGTATCTGCAGAACTTTCTCACACTTTCACATGAAGGACATTCGCTGTTCTCAGACACCCAGAATCCCTTCTGCTCCATCTTGATACCCATTTCCTGTCCGGGCTTTTTGCCCCCCCCTCGACTCAGCACTTGCATCTTAGAGAGTCATGATGGCACCAGCAGCACAGTTGGCCCTGAATGACTGAAGCCAGATAGCAACACAATGTCCTTCAGCAGTGACTGGTTCAGGACTGGTCATGTGACCCAGTTTGAGCAAAGGAGATGCCAGCAGAGATCTCCCAGGGACTCCCTGGAACCATAATTCCTAGATCTTCCAGGAACCATAGGCAGAGATGTTCTCTTTCCTCACTTGACTATGAATGGGAAAGCAGACATGCCTTGGGAGTTGCTGGCAGCTCTTTTGTGCCCATGAGGAGAGCCAACCTCAGGCTAAGAAGATGAGGTGAAAGGCACAGAAGAGAGCCGTTCCATTGGCTTGTTCAAATAATAAAGCTTCACTGGAACCTTGAATTTTCCTGAATGCTTCTTTTATTATTATTTACGTCCGTGTGAATTGGGTCATCTGTTACCTAAAACTGCAAGATTTCTATCTGAAATGTGTCCCTCCCTCCCTTGGGAGTGCCAAGACAGGTGGAGACCAGGAACTATATTAAGGAGTCCTTCTTCACCCCCCTCCACCCCTTAGGAGAGATCAGAATCAGATGATCCTCGTTCTAGAACATTCCACTGTGAAACCCATGGCATTGGCCATATGGAGACCAAAATATTTGGAACTGAGGTAGCCTTCCCTTGTAATCCTTCTTCCCTGCAGGACTAAAGTTAAAAGATACTAATCACATAGGTGAACGTTCACTATAAAGCAGTATGCTGTGCTGCGCTGGCCACAGCCTCTTCTTTGTGTCATTTTCTCTTGCGTTTGATTGAATCTCAGACGGTTTTGTCCACAGCCCTAAGAACAACAGGCTATCTCTCTCTGTCTCACACACACACAACGTACACACACACGTACACGCACACAGCCTGGGTGTGTGGCACGCTCTACCATCTCCATTAGGGTCAGGGCACCCTCTGATGTTTGCACAACACCCCAATCACCCCATCCCCCTGCATTTCTCCAAACGTGGCCCCACCATTAAGCCATGCATGACTGGACACGGCCCATGCCCCAATAATTCTGCTTCTATCCAAGGAAATAATGTTGCCAGGATGAGAAGATTGTCCAGAGGCTGCCCACCACAGCAGTGTAAATCACGGAGAGAAGACACCTGAACGCCCAGCCACAGGCGCTGGGGGCGGGGGATGGGGGATAAATCATGGTCCGTCCCCACCACGGCACGAGGAGCGCCTGAGCTGGGCTGTTACCGCTTAGCATGGCTGTCCCTGTTTATTTATTGATGTGGAAAGACAGTAAAGGCATAAAATCTCAAGTGAAGACACATATGGTGTAAAGTGTCGAGGAATTAGATCATGGAGAGCCCTGAGATCTATATTCATAAGACCTATGGGAACGTCTGGAAACTTCTATCATCTCAGACAAAGGTGAGTGGGGGCACAGCGTGTAGGTAGGCCATGGAATGAGCTGGAAGGGAACACCACGCCTCATTAACAGGGATGTCACCATCATGGGGTGTCTGAGTTATAAGTCATTAAATAATTATTTTTGGTTATTCTTTTCTTAATCTTTCTACAATTTACATATATTAATTCTAATAAGATAATAGTGGTTTTTTGGTGTGTGTTTGTACAGCAATTTTGACTAATTCTCTCAACGCAGGCAAAATAGAAGTGTTTAATGAGGATTTAAATGGAGTCTAAGAACCCAGAATTGATACCTCAGTTAGTGGGTTTTTTTAACATATGGGATGGGGCAGGGTCTGGGCAGGAAGTGGACGCTCAGGTCGGGCAGCCTAATAGAGGGGATTTAATACCGGGGAGCAGTTACCAAGGCGTTGGAAGATCTGGACAGCCAGTTGGGGATGAGCTGGGAAGGCAGCCAGGACCACCTTCAGGGCTGGAGGGACTCCGGGGAGAGGTGGCCCTCAGAAGCCTGGGGTCCGGTTCCCTGGTGCAGGCTGGGCCGGCTCACAGGGGACAGGGAGTGTCAGCTGGATTTCCCGTTGCTCTGCAGCTGAACAGGAGAGCGTTAGAGATATACCAGCTTCATCGTCCTCCCACTCCCAATTTCCCGCTGGTCCCTCCTAGTGCCTGAACTTACTTGGAAGCCCCTGACAAGGTCACCCGGGAAACGAGCAGTTTGCAAGGACCCCAGTCCGTTGTGGGTGCAGGAAATGAAAATGAGGACCTACAAGCCAACAGATGGGGGGGGCCTCAGCCCCAGGCCACTTTTGGGCTATAAAACTGGTTCTTCCTTTCATTTGGTGAAGTCCCCCTTCACCGATGGTAACTGGATGCTCCTTATCTTTTGATCTGGAGCCTGAGGTTCCACCGTTGATGTGCACATTCAGAGTTGTGATCATTCTCTCAAAATCATGATCAAAAACCATGGTGTGAGTTGACTTTTCATTACTAGAACATATAATACCTGAGATAATCAAATTATAAAGATAAAAGGTTTGTCTTAGCTTACAGACTCAAGACACTTCAGTCTGTGACCAACTGGCCCATTGGGTCTGGACCTGTGGTGAGGTGACACTTCATGGTGGAGGTGGTGGCAGGTGCTCATCTTGTGGCAGAAAAGTGGAAGAGAGTTGGAGGAAGAGGGCAGGTTCTCGGAATC